CTCTTACTGACTAAAAACCACCCCGTTCCTTCTGCACGTCGAAAGGGATAAAAGATTTTATGTATTGCAGAAAATCACACCGTGAAATGATAATCTTGCAAAATCTTATAAGTTTGGGGGATTTGCTTATAATTCTCATAAATGTAATTCTAGTTCTCTATTTTTCATCACTTTCAATAATCTAGTAATAACAATATAGAAAAAAAAAAATACAATTAAACACATACACATAGTATGTGTGTGTTTAATTGTTTTATATGTGTCAATAAAATTTTGATATTGACCTAATACTAAATTGTGATATTCTGCAGGCTTCTACCCCCCTTTAATCCCCAAGCGGTCACCGGTGACTGCTCTCCATTCACTACTTTATAGGCCTTATTTCCGATGTTTAGAGACTACTTTTGTATGAACAAGGGGTACGTTATTTCAACAGGTTAATTATGATTTTTTTTTCAACGAATAGCGTATTTATGACCTCTTACTTATGGTCTATTAAATGTTCCATGAATGGTTTTAATCGACTATAATAAGCTGGGGCTCCAGCTCGAAGAGCAAGAGTAGGAACAGAGTGGTTTTTAGTCAGTAAAAGTCTGACACTGCCGCTCGTCTCACTCGGGCGGGAGAAGTCGCAGAATGACATACCGCATCAAAAAAAAAATACAGAGACCCAGAACAAAATTTTACACACTAAGGGTTTTAATCCCCAAAAAGACTATTATAGTTAACATATTATGAATAGGTACTTAATATTTATGACCCACCTATTAAAATATCACTCTTAATATAACAACACTGCCTGTGACACAGTTTTTCATTCACAGAAATCCACCAAACTAGGTTAAACTACGCGAGGCAAGAGATAATAGGCTGGCACCTATTGTAGGCATTATGCCTATTGATAACTATTAAACTGTACCACGCAGTAGGTACCTACATACCGATAGTCATTGTAATATTGTACCAATCAATCAATAACTGTACCTTGTGAACTTATGTACGATGTTAAACATTTCCCAGACGACAACGTAGTGGTATATATCGATTTTTTTATAGTAATGTTATGTTCTCATGTAGTAGAGTATCAGGTTTCTCTCACTTCTAAGGGCTATTCAGTCAGGCTTATTGCATATTGTCATATGCGATGTGCGATCCTAAATTCTATCTAAGTACGCGTCTAACGAAAACAAAATCATCAAAGTATCACCATCACCAACTAATGAACCTATTCTAAATAATTCATTCAGAAGCTACGTTTTATAAAACCGTCTTCAACCCCTTTGGTTCGTTCGGTTTATTCGGTTGATACATATACTAATTTCTTCTCCTAAATGTAACAAATACTTATCTGCAAGCCGTATCAAAATCGGTTCAGCCAATCGCGAGATAATCGCACTACACATACATACATAAAGAATAGGTCGAACTGAGAACCTCCTTCTTCTTCTAAGTCGGTTATAAAGACATCAAAGTAATCATTGATAATTAATTTACAATAGAAACACATCCTTTACAGTATAATGTTTAAAATATCTACTTCATATTTTTAATCTAGCACCTAAAGGCGTATCGCCTTTCCCGCCACCCATAGATTATTTAGTACCAGACCTCTTTTTCCGAATATTCAATAGATACTCAATAGTTTATTGTGTGTAGTAAAATATTTTGGTAAATAATATACTCCACCGAGTTATGTTTTATTATGGGAAATGTCCCATAAAATTGTTGGTCGATATAAGCGTGTAGTTTTATGGTAGAGTTTCAAGTGTGGGAGAGTCATGTTTCAGCACGAATGGGGCCGGCTCGAATGGAGTGATACCACGGCCTCACAGAAAACCGACGTGAAACAACCATTGCGTTGTTTCGTGTGAGTGAGGTTACTGAAGGCGCAACTATCCCCGCCCCCTTCCCTAATCACCCCAACCCCTGAATCTTCAACAATATTTAAATTCCTAATTCCCAAAAGGCTGGTAACGCACTTATAACGCCTCTTGTGTTCCAGATGTCCATCGGTGACGCCTATTGCTTATCATCAGGTGATCCTTCTGCTTGTTTACCGTATTATACTACAATAAAAGAGCGTTGCCCTCCGTTTTTGACAATATTTTTCCATAGGATAGATATTTTTCCAATAATAATAATAATTCCAATAATAATAATTCCAATTCGGTTTGTGTGTCCATTACATTTAGATTAAAGTTGTCTAAAGGGCCTCTGCGCAGTTGGCTTCGGCCCCTCGTACGCCTCCCAAATGACCGGGACCCTGTGGTCCCGTGAATGGTAAAAACATTCCAATAATAATAAAAGATATTTTTCCATTCCATAATTCTATGGAATGGAAAAATATCTATCGCGCAGCTCAGCGACGTCGCTGCGACCGCGCACGCTGCTCATGAGGAAGAACCCCTCTGTGGTTCAAAACTAGTAGAGATTTTCTCAGTTTATTCACGTGAGTAACCTGCGTTTTTACTTAAGTCATTACATTTATTACCAATTGCGTGGATTGAACTGAACCCGTTCTTATAAGGGTGCGTCCACATCTGGCGGATGCGCAGGCCGTGACCCGCTCGCGAGTCTTATACGAGTCTTGCTAAGTTACGCTAAAGAGGCACACCAAACCATTGCCGTAACTGCACGCGCGCAGCTCGCGATCGGCTTGCGTGCGGTTCGTAAGCTGCACATTCGCACAGATATGGCCGCACCCTTACAACAGTGTAAAAGTAACTAGTCTTATTATATACCTACTACACTACAAAGACGCTTATAAAGTTACAGTTATACTTACAATACCTAAAAGTCTAAGTTTAATAACTTTTTTAAAGATATTATATATACAAAAACTCCCGGCAAATAACAACATCTTTTATTCGACCTTGAACTCAGAACTCCGCACTTATTATTCACATTATTATACACATTATTTTATATGTTTTTGATTGGATGACTCAATCTGTTTATGTTGTTTTATTTCTATGTGATTTTATTTATTGGGTATTCTGGGTTCAAGGATGAAGAGTAAAATTATTGAATTGGGATTCTTTTAATTTCTGCTAGTTTACTGCTAGTCAGATACAGAAACACCAACACGGAAATTAAGAGTAAAGATATACTGACGCCAATCTTAATTAATAAAAATTATGTAATTATAACCTCGTCGAGTACCGGTTTTGTAGACACAATTATAGAACAATAGGTTGCGGTCACCGGTGACCGCTTGGTGTTTGAAAGTTTAAAATATTGTATACTAGCGGACCCGACAGACGTTGTCCTGCATATAATATAATAATATTAGGTATAGATAAATAACCTAGATATCGACTGCAGCGCCATCTGCCTCTCTCTGGTTGATTTGTGAATCTAAACCATTCCCAGATCCCCTTGAACACACACAAAAAAATTCATCAAAATCGGTCCAGTCGTTTGAGAGAAGTTCAGTGACATACACACTCACAGAAGAATTATATTTATAAAGACATAAAAATATAATGATAAGAAAAATACATATTCGGTTAATTTTTGATCTGACGGTTGACCCCTTTGTAAGGAAATTAACTCGATGTTATCTACCATTCCACTCAACTTAACACTCAATTTATAATAATGAGTAAAATCGTAGTTTCAGTAAATTCTCTGGCTCACAAACTTGACAATCCTCAACAGTGCACTTAGAACCTGGTTATTCTCATAAGATGTTGTGATTCTCTGCAAATTTTCGTCCCTACGAAACTGTCCATGAATACAAAATATACATGAATAAGAGTGTTCGTATAGTGGATGCAGCGAGCGACGACACGGTGCCTCGTTGCGCACGTACGCGGGCCCTACAATGATACTCGGAGCGTGGCCTGCAACTTGCAAATTTAAATTTAACGTACATACATTTTATACGAAACGTGGAAAAAATACAAATCTTTTAAGTAATGGTGTAAGAGTAACTTCCGCTCCTAACACTGATGTAGTTTATTCACACATTACAAATCAATGTTTAATTATGATCCAATTAAATATGCATATTCAGAAGACAATATTAAATTCTTTATAAATGTAGTCGTAAATAAGAACTAAAAACAAAACCCCTCAAAACCACTCCATTATTTATTCATTAGGTTCAATGTAATCAAGAAACTTCCCACTGAATGCCCCAATTTCGACGAAATTTCACGAAAGAGCCGAACCACAACCGCGAATCTGCAATTATTTAATCGTTTTCGAGGTGTTGCTCCACGGAAACTGAGGATTTATAACAAGTATGGTGATCCCTTGTGTAAACTAACTAGTTGGTTATACATTGGCTGTTTGTAATGGAATAGTTGATGGTGAAGTTCATGAAACGGGTAATGGAATTGACGCGAGTCGGGCGAGGCGTTTTGTACAGAGGAAGTAGTAACAGGTCATCGTATGGGGTGCCCCGGGCGCGATACCGTTCGGGGAAGAGTGATCATCCACGACGAGTGCCGCCAAGCTGGGAGAATCTCCCCGAATTGATCAAAAATTAATTAATAGTGAGTTCTTGGAATTCAAATGTTTCAAGGGCATTTTTAAAGGATTATGAAAGAATTGAGCACAGTAGATAGAAAATTTATAGAAAATGTAATGTTTATAAAAAATAATCGACACTTATGCATTTCTTATTTAAATTACATATTCTATTAAACTGTCAAACACCAAGCGGTCACCAGTGACCGCAACCTATTGTTCTATAATTGTGTCTACAAAACCGGTACTCGACGAGTTAAATTATACTTGCAATAATCTTGGACCTCAAATAAAAAACATATAAACACGACCCAATCGAATTTTCACTAAACAGATTCCATGAATACGTTTATTTCAATTTAAAACACAAATAAAAATGAATTCAAATCACAATCGATTTATAACAACAGCACACAAAAGCTCGAATTTTGATTTATTGGAAAAGTGGAAAACGTATTCAAGAGCTTGTAACCCTAGGAGGCGCCGGGCCAATTTCACTCCGCCGTTTAGTCTACTGTGACACGTCGATGGGGACGCATCGCGGTCGGTCTCTCCCGAAATATTATTACTTTATTACCATTCAAAACGCGAGTGAGTGTCTGTGAACTTCTATCAACTTTAAGTGTCAGATTAATAAGACGCTTCCCTTCCACGACCGGTCCACTCAAGGTCATCGATCAGCAATTTGACACCTGTTGTGTTTATATACTATATGTATGTAATTTCATATGTAATATAAAATAAACAGTAATATTGTGTAACATTGTAAGTATTGGCTTTCGTTTATGTGCATTTGATTTGCAGACTTATTAGACTAATTAATTACGCTGTTAGCTGTCTCGGTTACGTGACAATTAGTTAATTAACGCTTTACATGTGTCTTGTAGTTTGTTTGATTTAAGTTTTGATTACTTTTTTTGACATTTCAATGTTTTTTTTTCGTTTTTTCTGTAGACATATTTTTTGTGTAATTTTTATGTAGCTTATCTTTTATGGCGGTGTTTTTTAAATCAGCGTTAACGGCTTTATTAAAATTGTGTAACTTTTTCTGCTATTGCGGATTTAATCTGCTATCGATTTATCATTAACGATGGGAAGGGCCTAAACCAATACATACGAACCCACAAGGGACAGCCCTTATACTTTATACAGCTTGAAATATTTCTGTTCTTTCTTGGATAATAATTTATTTACCTGCTGAGACAAGGGTACAAAAGTTTTTAAGAATATACTACTTACAACAGGTACATAATATTGTAATATTTTTTAAAGAAAATAAAAAAGCTAAGAACAAAATATATATACCTACTCTTAATAAAATGACACTAATCCACCCAATTCGCAAAACTGAGAATTACATTCAAATTAATCTACCAATGGTTACATAACACAAAAAATCGGTTACAATACAAAACATTTAAAACAAAATACATCATAAAATTCATACAGCATTAAACAAACAACACAAACAAACAGAAATACATATTTTAAAGTAGCAATTGGTATATCCTGCACAGTTGGACGAGCCGCGCTTGCTCGGCGGAAGCGTCGGGCTCATTCAAATAATTCAATTAAATCTCGTGTTGAACTGAGGGCAGTCTCACTTTGTGCTCCGTAATAGGGATGCCTAAAATTTTGTTTTAAATGCTCGCCAATTATTGTATGGTTGACCTCCGACTGAGATTTTACTGCCGTAGCCCTATTTATTTAGGGTTAACTGACATACGCTTACTAATTGGCGGTCTAATAAACAATTTATTTGGTTACGGTATCTTAGAAAGCTACTCATGTCACTAAGTCGCGCTGGACTTCAGTGTCTTTACGGCAATATCTGCTGTAGACCCTGGCTCATAGGAGTTTCAATGGTTTTTGGGAGGATGTGGCGGATAAATAAAAATATATATATGATAGATTTGCTTACGGTAGATAGAATTTTGGCACATTTTGTACCCATGGAGCTTATATCCAAAATTTATCTTTGGTTAGGCATATGTTCAGTTAGATTATCAAAACTGGCCTTAAGAGTGTACCTACATTGCTAGAGGCAAATCTATCCTAATATAATCAAACTTTGGGCTACTACTAGGAATTTTGGATCATGAAAATCGATTGCAGCCTTGTTAGTTACCTGGGAATCCCGCCCTGGATATTGTGGTCAGCATTTGCGCTTGCGTCTAAACCAACATGGTTTTGTTCACTCGAATTGATGACTACATGAGAGATGTGTGTTGTGTGACCGGAGTATTTAAGACTATATTTAAAATATTTGGATTTTACCCACTTCTAAAAGGCTGATAAATGAATTAAAGCATTTTTGTAGAAAAAAAATGGTGTACAGAAATATATATTGTCCAAGTAATAACTAGGAATCCTTCCATTGTGCAGTGTACAAAAAGGACTCTGTACTAAATATTATAATGAAATAGGAAGACGACTGAACATCACCATTCGATTCCTAACTAACTTTAAACTGAGTTATTCAGATAAAACAAACTTAAACTCAGGAATTGCCTTAGGCATTGTTTCCGATAAAGTATTTAATCAAAAGGTCACTTTCTCATTTTCCCTTTTATGTAAAGTTAACTGATTTATCGGTGAAATGTCATGAACCAAGGTTTGCCTTTGGTATAGGCTGATCAGATTATGATTTTTTTACATAAGACTGCTCCAGATAACTGATTTGATTCTCTTGGTTTGAACTGACAAATCTAGGTGGTTTTAAATCAGTATCAGCGGTGATATCGTTTATGAGTTTGAGACGTACGGTAAAGCAACAATTTGCCATCTTGATAGTCACTGAAACTAATTAATTTCAGTAACATTATAAACAAATTTAATTTCAAAGTGTAATTATTATGTTTTCTGCTTTCTCACGTAATTATTTGACGAGGAACTCAACTAGTTTCAAGCCATGCTAGAGGTTCATATTCATGAGCAGCGTTCCGCTACCCGCGACGTGGCGACATTCACCCCGCTGCTAGTCGAGTTCTTCGTCAAATAATTACGTAAGAAAGCCGAAAACATAATTATTAATTTCAAAGATGTTTTAAGATATTGTGACTACAGGGTATGTTAGAGTACTTATGGAGATGCTCTCTCATCTCGTCCTCAGAGATAATATTTTCAGAAATAATAAAAGTAAGATTCCAGTTTAAATCTTGTATCATCAAATGCAACAATCTTCAGATAAGATATCTCATAAGTTTATGGTCATTCTTTGATACCAATATCAGATGAAAATAAAGATTAGGAAAAAATCCCTTTATTCAAAATTTTGATGAGTCATCCATTTTGGCCCCTAAAAGACAATATTACTAGCAAATTCCGATCTAATAAATTTAATTAAGTAAACCGTATAAGGGATGGAATCCATCATTCGCTTCCCCTAAAGGTCGTAAAGGGCAGGGGTAATTAGCTAATCAATAGAATATCGGCTATTATAGTCTCCCATGTTACTATGTGGCTTTGGTTACTATGGAATTATTCCTTTGTATTTTTATTCTTATCAGTATTGTTTCATATGTGTTATTCGATATGTACTGTACAAATGTCAGAGGTTAATTTTGTCACTCTGTTGTCAGAGAACATTTCGTTTTTTTCCAAAGTCTTCTATGATAATAAGATTTAAAGCTGTTGTATAATGTCTGTGTTCGTTTTCAAGGAAACCTGATTAGTGCGATATTTTGGTCTACTTTTAAGTTTGTTATTTTATAAAAATGGTCTGTGTTTCAAATTTTCATCGAATCTTTTATTTGAATATCCTTTATGTAGTTTGTTATATTTCTCTCAATGTTCTTATTTACATCTCAACTTATCTGTCTGTCCTGTCATCCATATTTCCGCCCACCTTTTCTGCTAACGTCAAACTTGAGTAAGTGTTCTCAGAATTAATAGAACGCTGATATGAGCTTCCTTACAATTATCATTACCCTCATGACTTGGCACATTTGTAACTACCAAAACTTCGCTTGATGTAGTATGCTAATGTAATTTCGTAGCCACCGTTTCCTTGGCTGATTAACGTACAATCCTCAACCATTTTAGGGAACGGGCGTCTTACTATACAAAGCACAGGTTAATTTACAAGGCAATTTACTAATGGAGTACTTAGCTACTCTATTCGGGAAAGAAGATTTTCTTCGCGGATTTACCGGTTCCCCGAAATGTTTTCTCAGCCACTGATAAATTGATTCCATTAATGAAAGCCAACTTCAATAAATTCCGCGTTCGGTTCACCGCTATTGAAAATAAAGGTGAATCTGAGGGAAAAAAATCTTTGATAATGTTTATTGAATTCCTTCAAGGTAACACGGAATACTTGTTTGGGACGTATCCTTACAAAATTAAGTTTTGAAAACAACTTGTTTTTGAGATTGTGAGAAGCACTTGAAGTGGTGTTTGTTTGGAATATCCTAAAAACGTGAGTGAAATAGGAAATATGAGGAATAAAATTTATCGACAGTGTCCCAGCACTAGGTGTGCATGCGGTTAGAACGTGAGTCTGGCTCACACGTACTGACGTTGACAGAAATGCATCACCGCCTCGTAAATTCGGTATATTTAGATAGATGGAGGGATAGAGACACTCCTTGCATGAACGCTTTGTTCTGTGCAAAGAGGTTGTTCATGATAGTCTTTCTTGTGGAATAAATATTGTTATAATGTACCATCGTATTTTTTGTTATTTCTTCTTGTGTGTGTGTGGTTACATTGTTTTTCGCTTGCTTCCAGTATTACCACAAAGCGAAATTACGTATGAATTTTCCTTTTGAAATGTACCTACCTAATTTTTGATAATTTGGTATTCAGGTCTCATTTTTGAATATCAAAACGTTTTTCGTATACGTTATGTGCGTAATAACATTTTTTACTACGTAATTAGTTGTGTTGTTTGTGACAGCAATGTCTAGTTGTTCGTGGTTCTACAATAAAACAGTATAACGAGTAGCTAGCCGAAGTTTCCGCAAACAAATCATTATCACTGGGTTGTTTTATACTACGTAGGTATTGTTAGAACCGAGTCCTTTGGGCTTTGCGGTTTGACAAGTTTGCGTGACACGTAAATTAACTTTAAAACCTAAAGTTTTACTAGCAATCGTTTTCGTAGCGGTAATTAAATAAAAAATTGGTTTTCTTTTTTGTTGAGAAGCTAGTCGTGAACAAAATATTTGCAAATTGTTTTAGAAATGCTTGTGTTTAGTAAATTAATGATTATATTTCTTTAAGAGTAACAATTTTTGCTCTACTTCTTTGAATATATTGTGGATGTGTTACAAAATTTACAAAAATGATTATTATTATGCGTTAGGTCTTATTGTATTATCATATTTATATACTATACACAAATGTGTGTGTGTGTGTGTGTGCGTTTTATGCAGAGAAAACTCAATGATAATGAATCCACCAATGATAGTAGCCATGGTAGTATGGTAATCACGATATTCGATTTTGTGTGAGAAAATAAGGCTACAACAAATTTTCTAAGCAAGAAGTTTACAAAAAATAAACAATGTTTAAGTAATTCATCCGCAAAAATATTCAAGCTTACCTACTTAATACTTCTAATTCAATGTTCTAATTTATACATAATTTAACGTAACCAGTTGCTCCTTTAACTCTTCGTACATTAATCTTAGGGCCCGGAGTTTTAATAAGATGATAATTGTCTTGAGCTACGGCTAATAAAATTACTCATACAACTTTGTAATTTAGAATGCTCGAATTGTAAGAATAATGACTTTTGTTTTAAAAGACGAAAATGTTTT